GTGTTTCAGTTTGCATCCATAAAAACTTTCCTACCTAAGCTCTGCGAAAACATGGCTAACCATTGCAATCCCTAGCTTTTTTGTTTAATTTACTTTTGTTTTAACAGGTGTGTTACTTCAATCAAGTGACATCGGGTGTTATGCCATACTTAGCTGCAAATCTTACTGGCTCATCAAAATCCATTGAGGACACTGCTTTGCAATGTATAAAGTTCTTGGAGCTGAAAGGCAGCAAGTACTGAAGTTACAAACGGATTTCTGAGGAGACTTCTGAAGGTTGTCAAGCAGTACTGGTTTAAATTCTTGCGTGTGTGTTGATCATTTTTCTACAGGTTAGTTACTTTGGATCATTTTTCTACAGGTTAGTCACTTTGGATCCTGTAGCCGATATTGGGCCTGAGCCTGAGAGTATCTAGTACAAGCATTTTCCTATCAAATTAAGATTAGATCTTAGGCTCTAGATTCAGTTTTTAATTTTAAAAAGATTAAAGGGCAGAATCTGCTTGATTGCATTAATGAATTTTACATAAATGGAGGCAGAACTTGGCCTAGTAGAACTGTAGCTCATGAGACTATTTCACTATTTTAATGTTATATTAAACGCAGCGGCATCCAGCCAGTTTTAAATCCGTAAATACCAGCCTGTCTTATTTGCAGGGAAGTGGTGCTACTAAGTAGCTTATCCAGTGCTGTGACCTGGTTGTCCAGGTTCTTGCACACGCATTACATATAGATTGCACCTTATGTAACCTAGTGTTTGCTAATGTTTGAACTTGTATCTGTTAAAACTTGTAGTTTATCTGTGGCTTCCAATAAATTATTGTTTCTGAGGTTACAAATCCATGGTAAATTTTACTACAGTGTCTCTGGAATGGCTTTGGATGCTGTTCCAGAAAGACTGCTTTGTGGCAATGATGGGGGCCGTTGGCCTGTTAAAGACGTGCCCCGACTCCAGCTGGCAAGCTGTGTGCCAGCCTGTTCTGCTGGCGTCCAGTAAGTGCAGAACAGTAAGACTCTTGGATCCACTCCCTCCCAGATGAAAAGGGGGAATGGCTTCAGAGGTTTTACTGTGGTGCATCTACTTTGTTTTCTGTTTTTATTTTTGCTCAAAAGAGCCTTGTTCAGAATCACAGGTTTGATCGTCAGCAGTTAGATCGTAACATGAATACGGGGGTGTTAAGAGAATCAAGGTCTGTGAACTGTAGCAATGCTCTTTCTATTTTACTGTAGCCTCATAACTGGCAGAGGGAGAGCTCTAGTGGTCTGCTCCAGTTTCCGCTTAAGTAAATCCACCTTCAGTTTCACCTATAACCGAATCAAGGCTTTCACCCATGATTTATAGGTTACAGCAAGCCTGCACATTTTGCATACGGCATGTCTAGCAAAAGCAGCAGCAGAGCCGTGGTGTGCTAGTGTTGTGAGGCACTGGGCCTCTCAACAAGGCAGGCACAAACCCTGGACTAAATAAAGCATTAGTGAAATGAGCTGCCGTCTTCTAGGCCTAGCAAAGGCTGGCTGCTGTGTGCCATACAATGCCCGGGTACTTCCGCTCTCGTTAAAAGTAAAGCAGGTCCTGGTCTTTGTCTCTTATAGATCCAGATCCTGATTTTGGATCGTCATGTTGATCACATGAGAAAGGAGCAATCTCTCTGCCCAGGGCAGGAGGATGACAGCCTTCTCCGGGTAGCCCCTTCCAGAGCATGAAAGCCACTGAGGCCCTGCTTGCCATCTCCTGGCTCAGCTGGTAATGGAAGGGTCCGGGCCTTTCTGTGGAGTGGGAGCTCAGCTCTCCAAGTCCTGCCCACACCTGCTGCATGCAGATGGCAGACAAGCTCTCGGGTAGGCAGGTAGGTCTCTGTGGTCCCAATTTTTAGACAACAGAGACACCTAATGTTCAGCTCTGAATACGTGTGACGTACTAGGGAGAGCCCAAAGGCTGCCTGCACCAACCATTTATCATCAGCCATTTGGGTGGCTTCCTATGCCTTCCTCACCTGCCTTTAGAGACACTTAACACACTGAACTCAGCTGTGGGGCTTCCACAAAGGCTACCTGGAGAATGTTATTTGGTATTTTTGAAATACTAGTTTTCTGCCAAGCTCACGCCTACGCAAGAGCTTCTTCCCTCTGCCCCCAGTGCCAAGGTCTTGGCTGTTGTAGCACGGAGCAGTGCAAAGCTGGGCCATGTTCCTGGTGCAGCCACCACACCTTTGGGGGTGTAAGAGGAGAGTGTCTTTTTTACATAGACCAGGATTGAATTTTACCAACCTCTGTGCAACTGGTGAGACAAGAAGATTCAGATTTCTGGTGTGCAAACTTTGACTGAACTCTAATTATGTACTTGACTTTTAAACACATTTGTGGGTACGATGTGTCTTCAAATGCAGTGCCTTTTCCAGCTGCTTTTCAAATAGCTTTCAATTACACATACCCTTGTGAAATCATCTAAAAAGAGATCGGTGGGTGCATTTAACAAGTAGCTTTGCCCAGCAGCGACTGACGATGGCTAACAGAGCAGCTGCCTCAAGAGTGCAGTGCAAGCATTTCAGTGCCCCACCTTCCTCAGCAGTCACTGGAGCAGGGGACAGGGGAGGTGTACGTGCCTCCAGCCCCATGCAAGAACGCGTGCAATTACCTGAAAACAGCTGTCGCCTTTACACTGAAATTCTTGCACACAGTACCCTGTGATTTTTTAAGTCCGAAGAAGTGTGTTCTAGTGCAAAACAGGTTAAAGCAACAGGTATGTAGCTTAAGGCTGTCTCACAAAGTGATGGTTGTTAGGCTCGCTGACCTCAGGAGGAACAGTTACGAGGAGGACTGCATCACTGTGCTGAAGGCTGGACTCAGGAGCTGGACAAGCTGGATACTAGCATGCTCTGCTTGTGCTCCACCACTGTGAGAACACAAATGAATCCACCGTATCTTGTGGGATTTCTTTGGCCACAACTGCCCTCTCAGTCATCCTGGTTCACCCAGCAGAAGTGACAGTGAGCAGCTGTGGGAAGGGAACAGTGAATTTTCTTTTCCTCCAGGTTACGTGTCATGCACCATCTAACTTTTCAGACTGCCTCAGGCTGCAGCAGTGCGACCGGGTGACCACGCCATACTCAGAACCTCAGATCCATGGCAGCCATCTCCTTGGAGAAGAGGCTGCGCTCTGAAACCGCAACTTGCACACCGCCCTGCCTACACCAACCCCTTATCTGGGAAACATCAGTACCACTGGGAAAGTCAAGGTGCATGGCTTCACGCTCCTATGGGTCAAAGAACATGGTACAACATCAAGTGTTTAGAAAAGATGCTTTTGAAACAATATGCTTACTCATATAATAGAAAGTAAAACACTCTTTAAGCTGGGATAAATGTCGGTTGCAAAATGTCCACATTAAAGTGATACTGCTTTGAGCTTTAATCCGACAGTTACCTAAACCTCTGTAATTTCCACATTTAAGTGTGCACTCTGATTACTACAAACTGCATATACAAGCCCTATCTTAGTCAATTTAATGTGCCTTAGTATTCAGAGCAGAACAAGGAAACCTAAAATAAGAGCTCAAACCACTATGTTCTTTAGCAGCGCTTTATTAAAAATAATCACCATGTACAAATGTAAAATATATCCACAGAAATTCATGTGTTTGTTTTTGCCACAAGAAAAGTACGTTTCAAACGTACGGTTTCAGCGGCTGGTCTTGAACATCTCAAAACCCAGTCCTAAGCTCAAGATTGTTATCTGGTGTTCCTCCTGCGCTCTCACCAAGGCGACGTATGGACCATTAGGACACTTCTACTGAAAGGGTGTATCAATTGTTCAGAAGCAATTAATTCTTAAATAATAAGCCAGTTCTTCAGAAGTAACAGCTGTGTAACTGTGTAGCTTTCCCTGACGGACTGTTACTTACTACTGTAAAACGGAAGCTGAAATTTTTAGAAGGCTCATTTAAGATTCCTGGGACACTGAAGTTGTCCGATGGCAACCACAGCAGCAGCACAGGACTGGAGAAGCTCAGCGTCACAGGCCCACGCCGACGCAGAAAGTGGAGCACTGGGCAGAGCCTGCCCAACACCTGCCACGTGGCCCAGAACTGCATCAAGAAGGCAGTTCAGAAGGAAACGCCGCATGTCAGACGGACTCGAGGTGCACTTCTCCAGAATCATCGTGCTTCCTTCTTCATCTCTGGTGAGACGATCAGACACAAGTGAACGCATACCACCGCTGGCTGCATAGGCTGAAGTACTGCAGTATTTGGAGAGCTGTTGCAGGCACTCGGTTTTAAGTTGGTTTCATAACAATTACTCAATCCACCATGCATAAACAATCTGGTGAGTGCACATACATATTTTACCTGACCTACCACGAGTGGCTGGAATTGCACCCCTCAGCTCTACAGGCTGTAGGGTTTACCTGATAACTTTGCCACAAGACTGCTCAAGCTGGTGCACACAGATCAAGAAATCAGTTCTTTCTGAAAGGAAAAGGCAAAACCAAACAGGAGCCCAACAAGGCTCTTTAGAAAATACCACAATCCCTTTCAGAGAAACAGATAAATACTACTCAGTAAGACCAGCACGATTGTGTTCATCTCTGATAAGTAAAAGCAGCGCTCCTAAGGTAACAATACTGACCACCAAAATCCCATGGTCATAAACCCCCGTGATAAAATGCACATACCCTGTTTGGTTACTGCAAGCAGATCCCTGTTACCAAAAGAAGCCCATTTTCCCTCTTCAGAGAGCTGGCAGTGAGAGGGAATGTTCTGTTTTGGCAGAGACATATAAAATACCCACTTGCCATGTCTTCTGTTGTTCCCAGCTTTTCAGTAAGTTACATGAGCCTGGGAGACAAACTGGAAAACTAAAGGGGGACCAAAAAAAAAAAAAAAAAAATCAATTTAGGAGCAGCAACCTGGTTATCTTCTGGAACCAGCAATCCACGCTGTGCAGTCACTACTCTGGAGTGAGGCAGTGCAGGCTAACTCTGGTTTAGAGCCAAGAATCCTTCAAAAACTAACAACTTTGGGTACTTTCGCTTTTGGCTTTTGCAGCTTTGGTGTCTCTGCAATTTGTTCATAATCTGCGCTCATTCCAGTGGTCCATCGCCCAACCGTAATCTGATCTGCAGAGCGAGAGACAAGAGATTATGAAAAGGCTAAGCATCACCAGCATACCAAACTTCTCCATTTGAGGAAGATTTGGCCTGCAAGGGCCTGTCATTAGTTCACCAAAAATGTGTCTGTTCAGTTCTAGCTCTGAAGCCAGCTCTCCTTACACAGCTCTTTTTCAACTATGTTTTATAAACTCCCTTTCTTCCCCCATGCAGATCGTCAAGGTTCAGAAATCATTACTATGTGTTTTTTCCTATTTCACTGTCCAAAGAAGCATTCAAAGGATATGCAGATGATACAGTAGTTCTCACGTAAATCCAAATAACTCTTGCAATGAAGATTTCATAATATGCAGGGGAGTTGGAACTAGATGATCTTTAAGGTCCCTTCCAACCCAAACCATTCCATGATCCTATAATTCTGTGATCTCTAGATAGCCAGGAAACACCTTTGCTATTTTACAGATGAAAAAAACTAAGCCTGAGGAGGCACAACAGAGCAAAATTCGCATTTCTCAACTCGCATCCCTGCATATCACCTCATTCTTTGGCTATTTAAATGCTACTTAGACCAATTCACAACCCTTCCCTAAAGAAAGGGTTGTTAACAAACTCCTATTTTTTTTTCTGAGTGACAATCTAATTTTGAGAGCAACAAATCAAACCATACCAAGAATATCACACAGATAAATCAGTGCTTACTGGGATTAACTTCTGTACATTAAAGCAGACCAAATAACTCCACCTGAAGAAGTTATAAACCACAGTGCCTAAACTTCTTTACCAGCTATCCGCTATCTTCCTCTAGTCTAAAAGTACTTTGCATGATGCAAAGTAATGTCAAAGAACATCACAGTTCTTACCAATGGCATCAGAGTTACAATAAATCAATTATTTTTAACCAGCAATACTAGTTCAGAAATACCAGCATAAAAACTAAGATGTCCCTTGGGAAATTAACCAGCAGTTGTCAGTCTTCATTATGGACATAAAACTCCTCAAAAAAGGTGGAAAGAAATTGCAGTTCTGCTTCACATACCATTTAGAGCCCTGCTGCCGGAGAGGAGAACGACCTGCACTGGACTGCACTGAAGACAGCCCCGCTTTGAGCAATGCCGTTCCCTACAAACGTTTCTTTTCTCCTAACGCATCTTGTACCTTCCTGAGCACAGGTTTTTTGTATGTAATGTAATTTTTCCACCCACACAGATAACCAAACAAGAAGTAAGGGAGCAGCTTCCTAGCTGGTGAATCTAGCTGGACAGATCTCCTGCCTCCTCTTTCTCTCCTGTCTTGAAGGACTTGAGCACTTGCCTGCACAGGCAGCTTTTACAAGCTGCCAGTTCCAACACTTCACGCACGTATCATCGAAAGAAGAAACCAGGTTTGTTCTACAGCTGCCAAGTTGTGAACAGCAGCATAAATACCAGCCAGCAAATACACATAGGTTTGTATTTTCTTCAGAAACCCACAATCTAGATTCTTTGAAACAGAAAATTCAAGATTTGCATTGCAACTTAATGCCTCCTCCACACACCCCTTATTCCCAAAGCAAGGTCACCTTCGCTATATGTGCATGTTCTGTTTGCAAACCCTTTTTTCCTGTCCGAAGTCAGCCAAAGCAGTAAGTAAACATTACTCAGCTGAACACTCAAACCCCACTCTGTACACTCCCCTATACCTCACCTGCGTTCTGTTTTTCTGGACAGTCTTTTCTGAAGTGCTCCACAGAGCCACAAAGTCTGCAGCCACCACCTGTTAAGAGAGAACGTTGTTACTCATCTGGGGGGAAAAAAAATCCCAAACAAACAACAGCAAAACCAAACACAAAACAACCCTCCGACACTGTTTTGCTCTGGTATGTGTATTGAAAAAAATCTTGTTCTGCTTACCTGTAGTAACAACCTGTACATAAGGTAAGGAAATGTCCCCATGGACAGATCTGCACTCTTGCCACAATAACAGAACACCATGGAGCAGATATGAAGCCTGCACACACAGCCTCCTCTGTTTCTGTCTCTCTGACCGACAGACAGAACTGTTCGTAGTGACACTGCTCTGTAAAGCATCACATCCTGCAAATTCCTGTTGCCACATACTGAGTATTTCTGATTTGTGGGAAACTCTCTTTTTGAGAAACAAGCTGAATTCTGTTGAAATTCATACTCAAATGAACTTTTGAAATTAACAGGAGCTCCTGGGAGGCAGGTAGTCCAACTGCAGGTACTGAGATACAAAATATAAATTCCACTCATAACCCAAATATTGAAAGTAAAGTGATTATTCTTTCAACTTAACTGTGATGCAAGATCACCCTTTTGAGTTTGCCACACCTCAAGTTTGTACTGCGATACAGAATGCTGTTTGACAGTGCCAATAGAGAAACCCGGCAGAGCAGGATCTGAGTGAAATCTTCAAACTTAGACATGTTTCACTAAAGTTGTTTTCTTTTTAGCGAGAGCCCTTGTTTTGCGTGAACATCCCCCAAAGTCTTCCGCTATAGTATAACAGTATGTTTTACCACATATATTAACATTGAATTCCACAGAATTAATCTGCTTTTACCAGGAGTAGAATACACTGGGAAGCTCTTTTCAGTCAGATCCTCATTCATGCGCAATGTTACTTTGTTCCGTATCAGGGAAGTATGAAGAATGCGTTTTGGTTTCAGCAAATTGGTGCACTCACCTTCAGCATACAATCCCTTGGGATTATCCGGACATGACCTTGACAGATGCCCCATCTCGCCACAGATGAAACATTTTGCGTACGGAAATGCCCCTGCAAAATCCCACAGAGTCTATGATCCACATTTGTAAAGTCACAGACAACTGTGGACACGCGATAATGACAATGTTTTACTGCACTATCATACTAAAAACACGACAGTGTCTCTTATACTGTTAGGTTCATTATTATTATATTGTATTCCTTTAAACATATTAACCCATCTCCTCAGAGCAGTTAGATTACTAAAACACAAAGCTTGTATTTCAGTAGTCAGAAAACTCAGGCTGAAGGCATCTTAAAAAATACAAATTTGAGACATACCAACTGCTGGATCTACTTTTGCTTTGCATTTGCTGATGTCATGTTCTGTGGATCCACACCGGTAACAGATCCCTGTACCCATATCTTGGCTTTCAAGTACTGCAGGACAATCAGCAACACCATGGCCAGGTTCTCTACAGTGGAAACATACCTTTGGAAATAAAAGTGAAGTTATATGCGTTTCACTGAGAGTTCACATCGCAAAATGCAGCGCTTCTGGGTCACATTACTAAAGAATTCACTTATTCCTATTATCTGATCATCACCTATAGCCAGTAGACTTTTACTAAACCACTATTTCTCTTGGCTGAAACCTTGAGAGCACTATGGGATATGCATCTCTAGTACCGAGATTTGAGGTTGCTCTAACACGAAAAGACAAGATTCTGTGAATGACACTCAAAGACCTGAAAATCCCAATATAATAAAGCCTTGCAACTTTTTGGACAGAAAACATACAAAGCGATTTTCTCTTCAGGGAAAAATAGCTAGACAGAAGAGACAGCATACTGTGTCACAAAATAACTGCAAGTGGTCTGTGCCACTAAACCGTATTATTATGGGTACTCTTCTCCATTTACCAACATCACACTGTACAGGGTACTCTCCTCATCACCTGAGTGCCCTGAATGAACAATGGTACTTGGCTACAGCACAGTTCCCCAAGCTCTTCAAGTACTACTGCAGTTAAGTGCTTAGGTAAACATAAGCAACGTGGCACCGGTCCTATAATTACCTCACGAAGAACGTAGATATCTCAGATTAATTAGTAGTAACTCATTACTCATGTTCCCAGATTACATTCAGCATAAGTTTATGCCTAATGCCGATGTTGAAATTTATGCTGAATTTATGCCGAATGCCTAATTTATGCTGAATGCCTAAATTTTGGCTGAGAAAATGGCTTTTATCTCACCAGACTCTGCCAAGTGAGACTCACTAGTCTCACTAGACTCTGCCGAGTATCTCGCTCCAATTCTCAAGCAGAAGACATTGCAGAAGGAGGCCCCAGAACATCTGGAACCTTGCACTGAAGAATTGCGTATTGAAATGCACCGAGTAAGTTTCATCCAGGAGGCAAGAGCGGGTGGGAATTCATCGAAGGGTGGCATAAGGTGCTAAACCGGAGGAGCCACGCTAAAGGCTAAGGCTTCAGCTGAAACTGATGGACTGTTTCAAGGCTGAGCGACTTAAGTTCGCTTTATAAACCTGAAATAGCACAGGCTACGCTTCTAGCGGGTAACGCTACTGAACCACCTCCTGCCAGCAGCAGCAGAGAACAAGGAACCTGCGTTTGCCACGCAGAGCTCTTCCCAAGATTTTAACAAGCTGCCGCGGACAAGCAAACACCCACTCACCATGGCATTTTTCTTCCTTTCTTGCCTCTTCAGCCTCCTGTCCTCCCGCCGCCTGTCCTTCTTCAAGG